GTTTCCTGCCCGCGTATAATTCAGTCCCCACTCACACCTAGGTATCACATACGGAAACTTGAAAATCCTTATGCTGAAATTAGTAACCCGGGAATCACAAAAACTTCGGTAATGCTTTGAGTACTTTTAACAGCAAAATTCCCTTGGACCGAGCTGCACAATCGTCTATCAGACAAGGTTGCACAAAATGCATGATCGCTCCAGCTATCCTGATGCTTGGCGCTAATTATTTTTGTCTGTTTTCATATTTATTGCCCATTGCTGTGGGTTGGGTTTTGATGGGCACGTGAATAGCATAAGGCACACAACAAAGAAATTTATTTATTTGCTAGTTTTTTTATTATTCAGTGATTGAATTGTTTGCTCTTCTGCATACATCTGTTTGCTCTTTAACATTACCTAGCTGTTACTTGAAACGTCTACCATTTCACCACTGATTCATTATACAGTGACGTAGCTTACCACTATGCCATTTTCGTTCTTCTTGATTTCGTGGTTGTTTAGACGAATGATGCATCGACGGATGGTCAGTCTTCTTCCAACCGAAGTACTTTAGAAAGGATTTAGCCACTTAGAAATTCCATGGTTTGTGTTGAATGTCACCACCTCGCTCCCAAATGTTGCCACTTTTAGGCTACTTAGAGGCACCTTGCTGTTTGGAATCTATAATAATTACATAAGGTAATTTACTCTCTTTAAATTTGCAGGTTTATGAGGAAGGCTACTGGAATTACGTAATGGGTCAGGTACAAACCATTGATCGAGTGTATGGCTTCGGTACCGATACACTGCTTCATCACATCACTGACGGTATGAGTTATTATCTTTTTTAACTCTCAAGCAGTATATTTTCTGCAAAAAAGTGAGAGAGACCTAGCACGAAGCATTTTTTGACTTATTTGACTTATGCGAGCTAAATTTTATGCCTCTCCCTCTTGATCCTTATCCTATTTTCCTCGCTTCCGCTCCTCATTCCAAGTTCGGCATTTCAGGTAGATTGTTTCCAAAAGCTCGTGCAAAATTATCCGATGAGGTCCTGAATTTTTTTTTTTTTGCCCAAATTGTCATCTCTTTTTCGCTACAAAGTTGCTACAAGATTAGAAATTTCAAAACAGTTTGTATAACTTCGAGATTGGGCGTTCAGTTGCTCATAAGCTCGATGAGTAGTCAGCAAGCGATTAAAATGTTACGTTTGAAGCCTCGTTCCAAGTCACCGTATCAGTAGAACCACTTGAGTACTGAATGCACGACATGTCTTACAGTCCTCTCCGTACCTGGAACTGAGCTGCTTGAGTCGAGAACTGGATTGCACAGACTCAAGTGAGTCTTCTGCAGGCTATAAAATAGTACTTAATGGGCAGCGTCAGGACGTTAAAACTAATTTTGTGTGTAAGTCGATACTGCGTTGTTACAAAGTTGAGATAAACAGTGCCTCAGGTTGGGAAAAACAGCCTTGCAGAAGCAAATAAAAGAAAATGTACCCTCCTAAAGCTTGAAAAAAGCGAAGAGAAAGGAAGCGCTTGAGGATACATCTGCCTAAATCTAGCCGCCTCTTTGAATGCTTGTTCAATGGTGTGGCTATCGTTGTGAATATTTTGCGCAGATGTGGCCAAAGGCTGCAACTCCGTCCAGTCTCCAATCTTGCAAGAATATTCACCGGGTCAGGAATTCGCCAGTGGGTTGTGTAGATGGGTAAACCTCTCTACACACTTTTTCTAGATGTAAGTCATGGTCTGTTCGCTTCCAGGACATGTGGCTCATCACTTCTTTTTCACGAAAATCCCACATTATCATCTGATGGAAGCAACAGCGGCAATCAGACGTGTGCTAGAGCCCTACCATGCATATCGATGCAAGAGTAATTACGATTTCTTGCTGGAGTATTTGGCGCTGAATGTGAAGCTGGAGTATCTTGTCGGTCGAGGTACTGGCATTCTTAGATACGCCCGAAAACCAAAGACGCCGTGATGTACCGAGCGATAAAATTCACTTCTGTGTTCTGTATTTTTGTTTTTGTTTTTTTGTGTTACATGATGGATAGCGTCTATAAAACAGTGTCCTGGTTTTCTAATAAAAGACGAAATGTTTTAGTCTGTGTCCAGCAAGAGCGAAACAGTTCCCAGAATCCCCTGCAACAGTGTTACTTCCAGTCACAGTTAACATCGAATAGATTAGTCATTAGAGAGCTTCTCAAAGCCGGGAGCCTTTCCCTCGTGATATCACAAGTTGTTTTGAAAAATTTTTCCTTGTTAAGCTACGATATCTGTGGTGCTTTGGTGTAAAAAATCCTCGAAAAAAGAACTTTTTCGTATGGATAGTTCGTTTTGCATGAGAACTGCCCGTGCTCAGGTGAAAACACGTTGCCATTCATAAAATTAAGCCATAAATTTTGTTTTAGCAGCTGTCCAGAAACAGACAGCGACGTGCGGCACGACCAAGCGTTAATAAGCTGTTGCAGGAGCGAGTTGTGAGAGCCGATTTAGAACTTTTTTTTGTCTGAACTGTTCAAGATGAATTAATCTATCAAAAACCTAAATGCCGGCCTTTCCGGTGAGTTATGAATTTTCATGAGCGCAAGTACGGTTTTATAGACCAAGATGCACCAGGAAAAA